GACCAGCTCCAGGGCGATGGCCAGGCGCTTGCGCTGCCCCCCGGACAGGGAGCTGGTGCGGGTGTAGGAGCACTCCAGCAGCCCCAGGGCCGTCAGGATCTCGTTCACCTGTCACACAGCCAAGGGTTTGCACGGGCTTTCATCCCCCTCCCTTCACCCCTGCCATCCCCTGCTCCCCTTGTCCCCATCCTGGGGAGAGCTGAGGGGGTCTGGGCCCACCCTCCCCAGCCCTTACCAGCTCCTTCTTCACCTCCTGCTTCTCACTCAGCTTCAGGTTGGCAGAGACCTGCAGGGAGAGGATGGCCAGGGAGACAGGACTGTCAGATGTAGAGAACACAGCTGGCTGCACCATGATCCCACCCCTGACTCTCAGCATGAAGGGAGCACAGGCAACAGGATTTTGTTCCTGCATCTCAGAACCTTGGAAACGCCCAGTGCTGGTGTGGGGTCAGTGCCCACAAGGAGCCAGCCCACAGCATGTCCCCAGAGGATGTCCCTCAGCCCACAGGATGTCCCCAGAGGATGTCCCTCACCTCAGGATGTCCCCAGAGCTCACCATCATGGCCTCGAGCACGGTGAGGTGTGGCAGCAGCATGTCATCCTGCATGATGTAGCAGGACATCTTGCGGAAGGTGCGCAGGTCCCGCGGCCGCCCGTTCACCAGGATCTGCCCCTTCATGCCAGTCTCCCTGCAGGAGGGAGGGCAGGGGAGGGGGATGCAGCACAGCCCTGCACCCCCAGCCCCTCTGGGAGCCCCCAGACCCACCTGTAGCCAGCCAGGATGTTCATGAGTGTGGATTTCCCAGCTCCCGACGGGCCCATGATCCCAATGAGCTCCCGCTGGCAGAATTTCCCCGACAGGCATTTCAGGAGAGTCTTGTACCCTGCAGGGGGAGAGCAGCAGGGGTTTGGCACTGCCAGCCCAGCTCCTGGGGCACCTCAGGACCCCCGTGTGCCACGGAGGAGCTGTGTGTGCCCCATCAGCACCCCCAGGGCTATGGCCACTGCAGGTGCCACCTCCAGCATGATCCCTGCCCCTGGTCCTTGGCTGATCCCGCTGATTCCCGGCGCTGAAGAAGCTCCTGACCTGGATCACAGCAAAGAGCAGGGAAATCCCCGGGTCAGGGCACTGAGCTGCTGAGGGAGATTACCAGGCTGCTCCTGGGTTTGTCTTCAGACGCTGATCCCCAAGGCCAGGGGCAGGGCCAGCCGGAGCAGGGCAGCGGGGGGCAGGCAGAATTCCCGATCCGGCTGCTGCCTTCATTGGCATTCACGCTGTGGCACCCGGCAGCAGCCGCTGCTAATCAGACCTGGAATTATCTCTGCTTTAAACGCGGCTGATTAGCATTTTCTGGCAGAAGGAACACGATGTGTCGGGAGCAAGGAACAAGCACAGCCTCGGGCTCTCAGGAGCCGCCCCTGAAATGGAGCCCTGGCTGGACAGGAATTGGTTTTGGGGGGTGATAACCCCATGGACCGAGCCCGAGCATCCCTCTAGCGGAACTGTGTCCCCTCTGTGCCCCACGGGGACAGCGCTGTGGGGCAAGGGCAGCAAACCCAAGCTGGGATAAGCCCAGGGACAGAGCAGTGACAGCCCCACCTCTCTGGGGAGCCCTGCGGTTTGTCCATCCCCAGGGAAGCGCATCCACCCCGTTCCTCCTTTGAGCCCCTNCTCTGCCTGTTTGCTCCCTTTGCTGTAGATGCAGTGGGGCTTGTGGGGGAAAAAAAAAAAAAGAAAAAGGAACAAAAAGAAGGAGGATTTGCACAGAAATAAAAGGGGGATGCAGCAATCTCTGTGGCTACAGCAACAGGAAACTCTAAAGCCTTGTGCAGCTCCACCGTGGCATCTTTGGGCTCCTCTCAGCACTGACTCCCACGCTGCTGGCCAGGACGAGGAACGGCACCATGAGCTGCACCTCCAGCTCTGCAGCTCCCTCCTGCCAGCCCAGCCCAGCCCAGCCCAGCCCAGCCCCAGCCGCTGCTCCCCCTGCATGGACCAGGCTCCTCCCAGCCATGCTGGGCACAAACACCTGGGCTGGGCTGTCCCTGCTGTCCCCAGGGACACCAAGAGGGAAGCCAAGCTCTGTCAGTCCTGGGGGAGGACAGTGGCACATGCCAGGGCTGTACAAAACGTTTTGCAATGAAGAGTGTATGTGTGGAAAGGTTAAAACAGTTCCGAGATGTCTCAAAACCCTTCTCGACTGAGCCAGGCCTGGCTGGCACCTCCCAGTGCCTCCACCACGGTCTGGGACCTGCAGGAGCACCGTGTCCATCTGCAGAACATCTCTCACAGCAGGCCAGGCCCGGGAACGGCACCGGGGCCCCACGGCCCCCTTATCTCTCAGATTTGACCTTGTACCTGAGCACCAGGTAAGCCAGGAGCCGCAGGATGACGAAGAAGATGCCCAGGATGAGGAAGTCCAGGTAGAGCTTGGCCTCCTCCACGTCCAGCTCCTGCAGGATCTTGATGGGCTTTTGGAAAGGGCAGAAGTCCTCGAGGCACTCCAGGTCCTCGCGCTCCATGGCGTAGATAGTGAGGATGACCCCCTCGAAGCCATACCTGGGGCAGAGCACACCTGAGGGTCACCAGGGGCACAGGGGAGCCCAGGACAGGGAGCTCTGGCCAGAGCTGGGGCCCCACCTGACGTAGGAGACGTAGGAGCTCCACTGCAGGTAGGTGGGGATGGTCTTGAAGCTGACGAAGAAGCCCGAGAAGAGCAGCACGGGGATGGCAGTGACAGGTCCCACAAAGGTGGCCACCTGGGGAACACAGGCCACTGGGTGTCACATCCCTGCCCACCCACGGGCAGCACTTCACCCCAAACCATCACAGGGACCCTTGCAACTCTCCACGGAAGAGGCAAAGCCTGCCAGACCTGCAGGGAAGTGGAAGCAGC